AATGTATATTAAACACCATAAAGTATTTTTTTTAATATTTTTTTAGGATGCTGGATAGACTTAAAATATTTTATGGTGCTAGATGTACCACAACAATATTTCAGGGTACTAGAATAGTACGCATCTGAAAAAATATTTTAAGTACTGGAGATACCACAAAATACTTTAGGATGCTGGACGCACCTTAATATAATCCTAAAAAAAAAAAAAAATAGTTAAGTTAATTATTTATGATAAATACGTGTTGATTTTTCTAAACTACCCTAGTTATTATCATGTGTGTATTGAATTTGGAATCATACCTTGGTAAGAATCTCTCACAATGAATAGGGATATTTTGAAAAAGAATGTAAAATAAAATAGATTGATGTCTTAATTAGGTTTAAAATCAAATTTGATCTCCCAATTAGCTCTCATATGAAGCATTTATTTATAATAACGGATGATATTATAATGGTTCAGTTGATAACTTCGACTTTGCAGTACATGCTAAACCCACGTCTAGTTAATAGGTACCTTGTGTGGTTATAATATAAGAAAATGTTGTTAAAAAAATTAACTTTCACGATCTTTAAATAGTACCACTGAATTATTTTTGCCAGAAAACTACGATTCAATCATTTAATCATTAGCTGGCAGAGAAGTAGTTTACTTTTTTCTTTTTTTTGGGTCTGGGATCATAAAATAAGAGAAGCAGTCTACTAGCTGGTAGACGTAGCAGTCAGCTCATTTTTAAAAGGGGCTACTTGCTAGATGAAGACCCAACAACTTTTTATGCAAATGAAAATGCTCTTCTATATGAGGCCCAGCAGATCATTAGCACTTGTATTTAGTAAAATTTGAGTGGCTGGTTATGGTATTACCAACGACAAACGACTTCGTACTTTATTAGCAACAAACAAATAAGTAAAGCCGACTTTTGTTTTTCAAAAAGAAAATCAGCATCAATTAGGTGTAGTTTTTGATGTTGGGAGAAACTGTGATGAAGCTGGGAAGAACCCTCCTCACAGTTGCTCAGCTAATATTTCGAAACAAATGTAAAAACAGAAAAATATTGAGCAGAACATTCATCGAACGTGAGTATTTTTGATATTATCAGAGGCATCATCATTTATCTAAGACCCAAGTTTCTTGTCTAGAAATCCGCAAGATGCAACGTGTAATATTCCTTCCGGTCCTAATTATACGAGTTAAGTAATTATGGGTTTTGCTTTCAATGTTTGCTAGATGCAAGATTTAAATCCATTTTGTTTTCTAAATTATAATTTTTCTCTCAATAATTATCTCTATTGAATGCACATATCTGTAGAAATAGTTTCAAACTTTCAATATAAATGGTCAAAGAGTGCTTTAGGAAAAAGGAAAAAAAGTTTTTTGTATTTATTATATCAAATTCTTTAATTATACATGGTTATGTGTCCTTTTTGATTTCATATGAATTTATTATCAAATGTTATTATCTTAAAAATAAAGCACATGGTCATGTGTGATTAGAAAACTTGATATAATGAATACAAGAAACTTGACGTAAGTATTGTTCTTAAAAAAATTTACAGTATTTTATTTTATATATATAACAACTATTTTTTTTTTACATATAAAAATTAGTTATTTACTTCCTTGATTTAGAACCGGTAAGAGTATTAAATTAAGAAAAATATTATTTATGTATTTAAGAACAATTCTACTTGACTAAAATCGAAGTTTTAAAATAAAATCAGTGTAATATATATAAGACTTAGAGTATTATTCATAAATTTGAAAGGGTGCTATGCTCATCGTTAACTACATATAAATGCACAAAGTTTATTCTGTTTTTTTTTTGTTCCAGAAACTATTTTTCGCAGTTCATATTTAATGTAAAAGTCGAAATCGAATATATTCCAGAGAAATGTAACAAAGAGGAATTTGGAGACCAGGAAAGGATCCATTTGTCTTTTGGCCAGGATTTGTTTACATTTTAATTTAAAAGGCTGTGGTTGTTAGCAAAATTTAAAATCTCATGGCTGGCAACAACAACAAAAAAAAATCTCATGACATTTTCCATTCTTTGACCCTAACTATGCTTTTAAAGCCCTCTCTCTAACTGTCTATGTGAACAGAGTGACATTATATGCAAGATCGTTGGGGAGGGAACAGGAGATGAATCTAATTTTATATTAATGAATTATTTAGAATAACACTAAATGTATGGATTTGATTCACATGTCAAGTTAATTAATGTTTCTTTTTTTTGGACGTGGCCAAGTGTTTCGTTTAATTATTAAATTAATTTCTTGAATTCGATCCTCTTGCAATTTGTCAGTTCATTTACCTTTAATAATAAAGATAAATTGTAATCATAATAGTTGAATGTAATTAAACTATCTCTCTGGAATAAACATGATAAATTTATCATTTATATCACTTCACGAAATCCAATAAATCAATTAATATAGAAAAAGCCAAGAAAGCCAAAAAAAAAGTTATAGATTAATGAATAGCCAAATTAAGGGCACCAATGTATATATGTTCTCAGCTAAACAAAATATCCATCTATATTATTTTTACACATTATTATATTAATATTGATCATCTCAGTGATTTATGGAAAAAAAAAGTAAATTTGAAAATTTTTAGATCTCGTCACGTAGTGACTATGATATCATATACACGCTGTGTCCTTCAAGCGTGTTCAGAAATGAGAAAAGTAGGTTGACTGTGACTGAGACTTGGTCTTTCTACATAGTGTACCTTTTCTTATTAAATTCATGTACTCCTTTTTCCTTTTTCTCTTTTCTATTTTATAGCAGATAATAAATTTGCTAGAACAACATATAATATTTAGTATTATATTATATATATTGTATATTGTATAAGATAATTTTTAATATAAGAACTTGTTTGTCTTTTATTTTGGTTCTAAATAGAAGATTCCAATCTATTTTGTTTCTAATGTTTATGCATTTGTTTTTAAGGTAGTCCTTCTAATAAGCGTACTTCTAACCAACACACTTAATTAGTAAGGATATTTTAGTAAAGACAAAGCCTATTTATTAGAAATAATTAATTTAACGTATTTCCTTAATATTCTCAAATTAGTCAACTAGCTCTTATAAGTAGGACTGGAAGTAGTATTATTTTTATATTTAGTTGTAACATAAGATGAAATAAGAAAGCATGTTTTAATTAAAAAATAATTAAAATTTTATGTTGTAGAAAATAAAAGTGATAAGGTAAAATTCCAAGAAGTAAGTATTAACTAATAAGGGAGTAAGTAATTAATTTACCATCAACTTATTACGGAGATGCTTCGAATTTTGACATGTCAAAGGTAGAGAGGAGAAGGGCAGTTATGTAAATTGAGTTACAGGCCTTTAGTTTCATTCTCGAATCCTAAGGCGATGGGAACACACTTTTTTGTCTATATAAATGGGACTCAGAGAGCTGTTTCTTCCACACATCTTTTCAGCTCTGCAACACCTCACTTCCTCTTCTTCTTCTTCATCGTCGTCATCAGAGAAGCAGCTATCTAAACATAGAAATGGATCTTTTGTCTGGCAGAATCATCAAAATTCTGCTTTCAGTTTCTCTCTTGTCTCTCCTTTTCTCATCTCTTCCTCTGCTGTTCCAATCTCTCAACTAATTCTCAATCAACAAGTCCTACGTCTTCCTCTTCTGCAATTGCCTCATGGTCTTCATAGCTACGAGCTCTTCTCCCCCTGATGATTCCTCTTCAGCTCAATTCAAGGATTTGGGTATTGTAGTACCAGTTACTTCCAAAGAACACGATGTGTTAGCTGATTCCCCTGAGCAGGAAAAAGAAGAAGAAGAAGAAAAGAGAATGATAGGGGCAGAACGCAGTAGCTGACATAGACAAGGAGGAAGAAGAAGAACAAGAAGAAGAAAAGGGAGTGATAATGGTAGATTCTCAGGAAGAAGACGCAGTAGCTGACACAGAGGAGGAGGAGGAAGAAGAAAAGAGAGTGATAATGGAAGATTCTCAGGAAGAAGACCAAGTTACTGACACTGCAGAGAAAGAATTGGTTGATGAAACAGATATAGAACACGAAGTTGCTCACACAGAGAAGGAAGAAGAAGGACGAAGGAATGGCATTTGGATGACAGAGGAAGAAGAGGATGATGAGGTAGAGGAATTGAACAAGAAATGTGAGGATTTTATCAGAAAGATGAAAGCAGCATTCTGTTCGGAGCCAGGTCTCGCCAGTTATGGTTATAACTCTGATGTTGATCATCAGACAGCCATAGTTACTGTGAGGCGAAAAGGTTTCAGGTCTCAATATACAAACACCTGAAATAATTACATCAAAACATTACATATTTTGTTCAAGTGTAATGTTTGTGGCTCTACTATTTACTTAATCGTCTCACATCATTAACCAGGCATCCCAGATTTTTGCTTGGTAGGGATTGTAGTTCTAGGCCTACATGTTTATTTCTGAGTATTGTGTGTTTGAGCACATGCAGTTTGGTGTACAATGCTGTGTTGTAATGAGAATATCAATGTTATTAGAATCCTCGAGTAGTTACGTTTTATATTTGGGTTACTGCAATAATTATTTTGATTTTAGTTTTTCAAAGTTCAAACCAAGGAGAAAAAAACCGGACCAAACCGACCGGTGAACCGGTCTGAGATCCGGTCTGGTTTAGCTTGAAAACCGACCTTCAGTTAAACCGGAGCAACTCGGAATGAACCGGAAAAAACTGGTAAAAACCGGGCAAACCGCCGGCTTGACTGGGTTGGCCGGTTGCTTTTTTCCCCCCTTCTTTCTTGCTCTCACCGTTCGCCGGACGTCTTGCCGCTTGTGGAGACCATGGACACTGCGGAGATAAGTGGTAGAAGAAGAGAAGATCATTAAAGTGACGGAAGACAGAACTTTGTTTGTGCCACTTTGAAGCATACTCGTGAAAGATTGGAAGGCAAGCAGAAACATAACAGAGAGAGTAGAATGAATGAATAAAATGTAGAGAGAAAAAATAGTGCCATTATTCGCTGTTTCTCCGTCTGAGAAAGAAAAGGAAGTGAGGAAGGTAGGAAGCCCTTTAGAGGACGAAGGGAGAAATCATTTCTCAGAAATGAGTCAAATGATCATGCGTACTCAGGAAGTAAGATGAGCTCCCCCTACCTACTCTACTCTGCTACCCTACTTGTTCATTGGCCAAGGAGGAGAGAGGAAAGAAGAACTGCTTCGTGAGGCGTGACATTGGGAGGAAAATGTGGACTGCACGTGGGAGAGAGAAGAAATGGTAAAAACTAAAAACAGTATAACCAAAAAAAACCAAAAGATTCTGTTGGGTCAGATGAGAGAAAGGAAAAGTAAAAAAAAAACTAAAAAGTGAAGTAAAAAATTTCATATACGTGAATATTTTGCAACATGATTATCCATTAAAAAATTAAATATATTTTTATAATTAGAATATAAATATTTTTACTAATTTAATTAAATTATATTATTTTAATTATTACCAGTTTGATTCGGTCTGATCCCGATCTGACCCACTAACCCTTAAACCAGTGTCTTGACCGGTTCATTATCCGGTCCGGTTTTTTGTTCCTTAGCTCAAACTATACATTTTGATCCTCAAAAGATAAAATAGTCTAGGTGTTTATTACATTATAAAAATCAATATTTTAGATGGAAAAAAATTTGAAATCTAAAATTTGTTGTTTGAATTTAAAAGAACAAAACCTAAATGGAGACAAATTTAATGACTAAAAATTATATTAAGTTTTTATATTTTCTTGTATCTTTGTCTCTCAAAGAAAATTGCAATCTATTCAATGGCATGAAACGAGAAAGCCAGGACAAGGGGAGGATATTCTAAGGATTTATCAATGACCTTTTTTTTTTGGGCCAGAGATTTATCAATGATGCGAAGAATGAAGATTTTGATAATTTGAACAAAATTTAAGAACGGCTTCTCGATTTATTTCCAAAACAATCAAATAAAAAAACATATAAATAATAAAAGTGGTGTCTTTAATCTTTATTTTAACGTCACACACAGATTTTTTTTAATTTTATAAAATATATTTTTAATCTTTTAATCACAATATTGTTGGTTTTATTAATAAAAAAATTGTCAACATTAAAAGTTTTATATTGATAAACAATCGATGGACATATTAAGTTTAATTAGCATAAAAAATCACCATTTATGACGAAAAATATCAAGGTTAGAGAACTAAAAAATTACTTTACAAACAACAAACAACAAGCCTTATCCCACTAGGTGGGGTCGGCTACATGAATCACACGACGCCATCGTGCTCTGTCAACAACCCAATCCTTAGATATGTTGTTGATTAGGAGGTCTCGTTCAATGACCTCATTCAGCGTTCTTCTCGGTCTTCCCCTGCCTCTTTTTATGGGACTCCATCTTGTTTGATCCACCCTCCTCACCGGGGCCTCCAAAGGCCTTCTCTGCACATGTCCAAACCATCTTAAGCGATTTTCAACCATTTTCTCTTGGATAGGTGCCACACCGACTCTTGTCCTGATCTTTTCATTTCGAATCCTATCTTTTCTTGTATGACCACACATCCATCTCAACATCCTCATTTCTGCTACTCCGACTTTGTGCTCTTGTTTTCCCTTTATTGCCCAACATTCACTACCATACATCATAGCTGGTCTTATAGCAGTCCGATAAAATTTTCCTTTAAGTTTCTCAGGTACCTTCTTATCGCAAATAACTCCGGTAGCTTTCCTCCACTTTAACCAGCCAGCTTGTATTCTATGAGAAATGTCTCCATCAATTTCCCCATCCTCCTGTATAATGGATCCTAGGTATTTAAACTTTGATACTTGAGGAATAATTTGCTCTCCCATCCTCACCTCCAAATCCCTATTACCTTGCCTCCCTCCAAAATCACAATGCATATATTCTGTTTTGTTCCTGCTCAAACGGAAACCTTTCGACTCCAAAGTCCTTCTCCATAACTCCAAACTAGTGTTAATCTCTTCTTTTGATTCCGCCATAAGAACTATATCATCCGCGAAGAGCATGGACTTAGGGATTCTTTCTTGAACAGGTTTAGTTAGAACATCCAGAACAATGTTGAACAAGTACGGACTCAGAGAGGATCCCTGATGTAGGCCAATCTTAATAGGGAAGTCCTTTGTCTCCCCCCAGGCGTCCTTACACTGGTAGTTACCGCCTCATACATATCTTGTATGACTTTGATATACGCAACCCGTACACCTTTCTTTTCCAAAGCCTTCCACAATACTTCTCTTGGCACACGATCATAAGCCTTTTCCAGGTCAATAAAAACCATATGTAAATCTCTTCTTTTACTTCTATATCTCTCCATTAACCCCCTTAGTAAATAGATTGCTTCCGATGTGGATCTCCCTGGCATAAATCCAAATTGGTTTTCCGAAATAGAAGTCTCCAACCTCAATCTATATTCCATCACTTTTTCCCACAACTTCATTGTATGACTCATAAGTTTTATCCCCCTGTAGCTTGCACAGTTTTGAATGTCTCCTTTATTCTTGTAAATAGGAACTAAAATGCTTTTCCTCCACTCATCCGGCATATTTTTAGAGCGTAGAATTTCATTAAAAAGCTTGGTTAGCCACACCTCCCCCTCATCGCCCAAACATTTCCAAACTTCAATAGGGATACCATCAGGCCCAACGGCTTTTCCATTGTCCATTTTCTTGAGAGCCGCCTTAACCTCTCCGATACGTATCCTGCGGTAGAAAGCCAAATTCCGATCATCTTCGTTAATTAGCAAGTCCTGCAAGTCCTGAGTCGCATAATTGCTTCCCTCATTAAACAACTTGTAAAAGTAAGCCTCCCATCTGTCCTTAATATCACCATCAGTAACTAACACTTTACCATCTTCATCCTTTATACACTTTACTTGGTCCAGATCTCTCTTTTTCCTCTCCCTTTGCTTCGCGATCTTGTAAATATTTCTTTCTCCCGTCTTTGTTCCTAACTCCTGATAAAACCCTTCATAAGCTTTAGTACGTGCTTCGCTCACTGCTCTCTTTGTCTCTTTTTTAGCCAACTGATACTTTTCCTGGTTCTCTACACTATTGCACAAGTGTATGGCCTTAAAACAATCTTTTTTCTGTTTGACTTTCTCTTGCACACTCTTATTCCACCACCAAGTCTCCTTATCTCTTTGACCAGGACCTTTGGATTCTCCCAAAATTGCTTTAGCTACCAAACGAACCCTTGTAGCTATCTCTTCCCACATCATGTTTGCATTTCCCTGCAACTCCCAATTCCCTTCCTTCAAAAGAGTCCTTTTGAATAACTCCCGCTTCTCTCCTTTTAACTGCCACCACTTAATCCTGGGTTTTGCCACTTGATGGTACTTTTGCCTGGTACTCTTAAAACATACATCAAGGATAAGTACTCTATGTTGGGCACTCACCCCGTCTCCTGGAATCACTTTGCAATTAGTACACAATCTTCTGTCCGGATTCTTAACCAAAAAGAAATCAATCTGTGATTTTGAGACACCACTTTTGTACGTGATTAAATGCTCCTCTCGCTTCTTAAAACAAGTGTTGACAATCTTAAGATCGTATGCAAGAGAAAAATCGAGAATAGATTGTCCTCCACTATTAAGCTCCCCAAAACCAAAACCACCATGGGCCCCGCTGAATTGTCCTGCTTCTTTACCAACATGTCCATTAAGGTCCCCACCGATAAAATTTTTTCTTCGAGTGGTATGCTTTGAACCAAGCCCTCCATATCTTCCCAAAACTTATCTTTAAGGTGTGTCTCTGCCCCAACCTGAGGTGCATAGGCACTAATGATATTGATAGTATCCTTTCCAACAATTACTCTTAACGATATTATTCTGTCCTCAAACCTTTTAACCTCTACCACGTTTTTTTTCCATGTCCCATCAGCGATGATACCAACCCCATTCCTTGTGCTCACCTTTCCTGTGTACCAAAGTTTATACTCTCCAAGTTCCTTGGCAGCTTCTCCAGTCCATTTGGTTTCTTGGAGGCATAAGATATTAATCCTTCTGTCCCTCATAACTCCTGCTACTTCCATAGATTTCTC